TGAAGTCGATTGAAGAAAGTCCATATATTTGGACGATTTGCTAGAATGAATAAGTATTCTCACCTTTTCCAATTTACTTTCTTCTTCTCTTCTCATAACAATATTGTCTTTTTTTCCGGAAGTTCAATGTTTCTATGCACAACAAGTAACCAAGTAAATCTTCTCTCAACTATATTAATCAATTGGCTATGAATCTTTTCTGTGGATGACTGTTAGACGGTCGAATTCAGAGAAAAATATCGAAATGTAAGACAATTATATTAGGTCAATTTAGAAATGGTTTTGGAAGAAACTAAATTATGATTTGGAAATCTTTTTAAAGGTAAGAACATTTTTCTGAATTTGCTTAAAAAGGACAAACGAATAATCACTTCTGAACAGAATTATTTTCAAAAAAAAATACCAGAATGACAAGAAGATAATACGTTAACTTTGAAAAAAAAAATATTCAGATAGAGAAGAAATCATTCTCAGTTGATATGTTACAACTAAAAAAAATCTCCTTGTCTCTTATCAATCAATCTTTCGATTATTCTTACATATCAATATCTCATCTCGATTTCATTCAATCTTAGAAAATCTTTCTTTTAAATATATAAGAAGAGTCCTTTTTTACTTCTCGTTTCATCTAGAAGATTTCTTCAGAAGACGATTAATTCTTTTTTAATTTACTCAATTCTTATCTATAATATTAGGTTGATCAGTTATTTTCAGCAAGATTGTTGGCTAAGGAAAGGAGAATGCTTTTCAATGAACATTTTCAAGTAACATTAAACAATTGATGTCCTTCACTGAGATATTTTTCAATGACAAGCTCACTTATTCAATTCTTTAAGAATTAAATTGAACAGAAAATACATCGTGTGTTTTATCTTGATCGAATTGAAAAGAAACTCTTCTTTTACTTGAACTTTATCATTGAAAAAGAAAAGGAGAAGATGATTGAGTAAGGAAGTGAAGCCTTTCTATCTCTCTTTTAGTCCTTATTGATAACGTATGTGTCAAATGAAAATGATCATATCTATAGTTAATCACAAATTCAATTTCTTATCTTAGAAATATTTATAGAAATAAAAATGACTCAAATGTTTAGAAATTGAAATGAGAAGAGAAAATCTGTTTTCATAACTTTATCTATGATTTGGTTGAACAACTATTCGACGAATATCAAATGGATATATCGAAAATGTTCCAGTTATTCGAAAAAGGAAACAAATCAATATTCGTTTAAAATATTTAATAAAGAAGAATATTGATGAAATCTTTTATGTTAAATAAAATTTTCAATGAAAATCTCGATTATTTTTCTATAATCTTCGAAAATTGATTCTAGTGAAATAGTTATTAATGACCAAAAAATGGGAATTAAATAAAAAGAACGAATGTGATAATTTGTCTTTGTTGATTAGTCTCTCATTCGTCGATTTATCTGATGAACCTTATTCCTTTTAGATGAATCTCAATTTTTTTCAAATACTTATTTTTATCGTATTTATTAAATATAAGAGCAAATTCTCGTTTGGTCTTAATTCAATTAAGGATATTCTTCTTCATAATGAGGAACTCAGTTTAACTAAAACAATCAATAACATAAAAAGAATTCGGAATGATATTTCAAAGAAAATATCATGGAAGAATATCTCTTCTTCTTTCTTTATTCATATCTATTTAATATTTGATCATCTGGACAAACATCTTACAAAATATTCAAAGATTTTATCTTTTCTTCGATCAAAATCGCATTGTTATTTAAATCAGATTCAAAGTAATGAAAGTTCTGAAACTGAAAGAAATCTCGCTGCTATAGATCATCTCTATTTCTTGAAAATCGGTCAAAATTGCGGTTCGTAAATACCGCGGTGACAAGAGGAGCAATCGTGGTTAGACTTGCAAAAACTTAATTGAAACCGCAGTTTTCTGTGTCGTCACCGCGGTATTTACGAACCGCGGTTTTGACCGGTTTTTTAGAAACGTATAAATGATCTGACTTTTGCGGTTTATTAAAACACGGTTTTTACTCAAATGTTTTTTTTCCTGGGAATAATAATGAAAAAGTCTGTTAATGAGTGAGATTGCTACAATGATTAGAAATCGCTTGGATATGCATCACTGATTTTAATTGCTTCGGAAGAATTTCATTGAATTTGTTTATATTGATTTTCGACCAAATTTAGATATAAGATGATGTTTAATTGATATATTGAAAAATAGAACAATGATCTCATATCGATTTGTCTTTATTGTCGATTCTACAATGATCTTTCTCAATTCTATGATCAATTCAACTTCACTTTTGACCGACATTAATTTTCTTATTCATTTCTAATAGAAATTCAATGGATGAAATAAGATTATTCATTAAATAGAGACGAAACTTTTTCGATCAAACCTATTACTGATCAGCGAATTGATCCTCAAGATAGGCCCATCGGAATGATTTCATATCGTTCAATGAATATTTCTAAGCACCATCAATATATTTTTATTGATTATAACGTCTTTCTGATAGTTAGTCAAAGAATAATTACTTCTTGATTAAAGTTCACTTTTATCTTTTCTCTTTGCTTCTAATCATAACAAGAAATTGTCCCAAATAGAATTTAATCGATCTAAGAAGAGCGATACGAATTCCGTGAGATTTGCCAATAGAACTTTTCAATCACAACCAATTCGAAGATGCCAATTGGTATATGCAGATCTCAATAGAATGAATAGAAATATTCTTCTTCTAGGGGAAAATCAATGATTGAACAATCGATGTAGATGAAGACTATTTTTTAATAGAATTATTGATTGCATCAATAAGAGAAATTGTTTTCAACCATTTCTATAAGATATATTGATGTTCTAGAAGAGATATTTGAAGAAATGCTTTGCTTACAAAGTGAAATTGAATGTTGGTCAAAATATCTGATTTGAATTTATATAGCTAACCTGATGAAACTTCACCTAAAATATTCTATTAGCTCTGATCGTTCTCATGATTTTTATTCTCATTATTAATTGATGCTTGTTGAAAGAACAGACAGAAATCTTCGAATTTCAATGAAATTTCTTTTTCTTCTCTATATGAATATTCGAAAAAAAACTGTTGATAGTTATGATATCAACGTAGATCTATTGATTGTTTTTCTTCATCTCTTCGCAATTATTGACAAATAAAAAAAAATAGATGTATGAAAGTCAAATGAGAGAAAATAAGGAAGCAGAAATGATCGATTTTTGATCAAAGAAAGTTTTATATAAAACGATTGATTCATCTTCATTTGGTTCTCTTGAACAAATTGATCTATAATAAAAGAGGCTCGAATCGAATATTCATAGAAAAAAAAGATTATCGTCGAATAGATGTTTATTTGAATAAGTTGAACAACAATGAATGGGTATATCTTCAACATTAAGAAAAACATTTTCAACTTCATTGTTTTATTATTAAACGAGAATTTCATCTAAATTGATTAGATACTCTTATCAAATGAATGAATAAACAACAAAGAAAAATTAGCTTCTTCTCACAGAGGTACGTTTTCAACTGTTTAATCACTTTTGGATTTGGACTCTGTGCATAAGATAGACCTTGATGAGATATGAAAAACTCCAAATGGATAGGTGCTCTTAGACCTTCTGTCCAGAATTATAGTCATTTTACTGGAATTTTAGCTTATGGCATGGTATATACCAAAAAATCGAGTGGCAATATTTCGATCTAAGTTTTTACTCACAGACAGATCTATTTGTGAATAGGATGCCGTGAAAATTTCAGCTCAAAAGAATGTTTCCTTCTCGAGATATAAAAGTCCAAAAGATCACTCATATCCCACGAAGAATGCTAGAATTGTCCGTTTTATAAAATACGACCTAAAAGAAGTGTTGAAGTATATAGGGCTAGAAATTTGCACCCCCTCTCCCCACAGACCATGACCGACATAGTTCAAAGACATCACAGATGGTAGCCTACATAGCAATACTGAGCATCACAGACCGTGACAAACAGACAGGTTCTCGAGACCATCACAGAACGTGAGAAATGTGATCTGGAGCCCGTCACATATGGTGAAGGATGTCTACGTGGTATGCTCAGAAGCCATGTATAACCTAAGTCTAGTTAAAATCCCATGTCGTGAAAATCGTCGCGATTTTGGCGATTTCTCGAAAAATGAACGTAAAATCGCGATTAATCGAAATAGGCTGAAAAATCAACGATAAAATCAGATTTTATTGTGATATTGAAAAGAAAACCGATTAATCGTAATCGCTGAAAAATCGGAATGAGTAATCGCGATTAATCAGATGTTTATAAAATAATCGGATGTAAATGTATTGTTGAGTAATTNCGAAAAAAATTATTTTCGAATTTCGACTTGGGAACTTTACATATAAACAGACCTTACCGAGAATAGTATTTTACCAAAGTTTCAGATCTTTTTGCTGTTGTTATCGGTAGATACAACTATGATAATGTTATTCAGATAAACCAAAAGATTTAATGTTGTCATTTCAGGATAAGAACAAATAGAAAGACCTGAAAGTTTCACAAAATACTATTCTCGGTAAGGTCTGTTTATATGTAAAGTTCCCAAGTCGAAATTCGAAAATAATTTTTTTCGGTGTTCCTGAGGGGGACCATACCTTTCATTTAAAAACATACCGTAAAAGTGCAGTATCTCCGTAGCAATAAGCTAGCAGCCCGAACTTTTTTCAGAGTATTCATAACTCTTTTGCACCTATATAATGCACATAGCCTCAACGCAAAAACGATTGATCAGTTGGGGACCTTCCCTCGTAAGTCTTTACGATATAGAAAAAAAAAAGCTGTTCGAGCAATTCCTACATGATTAAAATATGAAACGCGACGCAGCTATTATTATTGTTGAATATATAGAAAGATTGTTTTATTCTATCCAGTGTCTAACCGTATGTCACGTTTCTATGGTTACATCTGAGAAGAAGGGTTCAAATTTCTACTTCTATACTTTAACACTCCTATGAAAATAATTAAATCAGTAAAAATAAATTACATCGAGTAAAGATGATTCAATTTCTAATGGTCGATCATTTTCTTTATATAATGCCACAACATTTCTTCCAATAACAAGACAACTAAAAGTATCTTGTCCAACTAAAACAAAACTCATATATATAAAAAAAAATCTAGAAAATCTTTTTTTTTTTTATTTTAATTTACTTGGAATAATAAATGATGCTTCACTTAATGTCATATCTTGTTTCCAAGTTAATTTCGTAATATCTTTTTCTTTTAATTCAACTTGATATGTACGTATATGATATTCTTCTGGATCACGATTAATTGTTGATGTATCAGTTGTACGCTAATAAGAAAGATACAAAGAAAAAAAAAAAAAAACGAAACCAATATATTGAATTTAAATAAGAATTTTCAAAAAGCAAAATCTTTACTGGATGTAAAACAACAAATGTTGGTTTTTGATGTCCAGGTAAAAATTGTATATCAACAATATTTTGTTCATCAATTCTAAATTAAAATTTTTACTTTTTAAATTTTGTACTTAATGATTTATTTTCATTTTACATACTTAACATTATAAGCTTCAAGATTTTTTGATGATGATTCTTTTGACGATAATTCTTTTATATAAATTAATTTAATAACTCCTTCAAATATACGTAATAAAATAAGACCATGTTTAGCATCAATTGTACATAATGGTTGTCGAACTGGTTGTCGACCAGTATCCTAAATAATAAATTAATATAAATTTATTATTTAATTAAAATCTATTTTATTACTTTTAATAATCCATGACATTTAGTTAATATGTCATATTGATCATTATTAGTTTTTCGACAATCTAAGATCATTCCATTACATTTTTCAGTAAAAATAAATAGAACATCTTTATTCATATTCTATATTAAATATGTAAAAAGAAAATTTTTATATTTATATATATATATATTAAAATTTCTTACAGGTAGACGAAAACATTTGAGTATAGTAATTTTTCCATAAATACAAACATCTTTAACTAATTTAAGACCTTCGGAACTAATTACATAGATTTCAAAATGTGTATTTTTAGCAATAATTAAATTAAAATCAGTTGAGGATGTAAAATGACCTGTTGTTAAAGCTGTTACAGCCGTTGGTCGTTGAACTGTAACAACATAATTCATTGCAGCCATTTCAGAAATTCGATAGATTTCGTTTTACAGTTTGTTTTATAATAATCAACAAACGACTGACTTTTTTATGATTGGTGACAAATCAAAACTAATAAGAAAATCTATGACAGAGGGCACTGCTGTTATTAGCCATTTGTAATAGATGGAAATTAAATGTTTATACAGATATATTTACATTGTTTCGTCAATCATAACATAAAATGTGGCGTACTTTCTGACACATCATTACAAAGCGAAACATGGTGCTTGTTGCGACACATTTTGAAAACGTAGTTCGAGTCTATCGTTCAACACATCAATTATTCTTTCTGAAAATTCGAAAAATGCTGAATAGTTTTTCAGTTTAATTTGTATTAATAACGCTTATTGTTTAAGTTTAAGACGATTAGATTGCTTCAAGCTACTATATTTCGTCTAAAAAATAAGTCGAACTAATCATGTAGAAAGAAGAAATCAAAAAAAAGAAAATACTGTTACTTTACTTTTCGACTACTCTATACTTTATTCTACATAAAGTAATACATATTAAGAAGAAGTGGAATGAAAGAATATAAACATATTTTTATTATTCACTGTTCTACGTGTAGATTTTAATTTACACGCCACACCCCCCCCCCCCTCCCGCTCTCTTTCCACTTCTCCCTTCTTGTTGGCCTGTGCGAACACAACGAAAGATCGACATAAGAAAACACCGTAAAGAC